CTACCACTTGAGCCACAGCGCCACTTCTGGCTTTTTTCTTTTTGCTTATGTGGTGCTGAGGAATCGAACCCAGGGCTTCTGGCATGCAAGGCAAGCGCTCTACCACTGAGCCACCTTCCCAGCCCCTGGGTTTCTCCTTTGTACTCTGGGCTGGAAAGCACCCACACAATCACCCTTTCTACCTCCAGGTGAAGCTTCCCCCCCAGAAGGAAATGATCACATCAGACGAGCTAATGGCGCATCTTGGTGAGTGACTGGGCCTTGAAGAGGAATTTCCCAAAGGGGTCCAAGAGCAATTCCCTTAGCCTAAAGTCCACACTACTGAAGGATCCCCACTGGGGCTTTGGTGTGGCAGGGATGGTAAGGGTAGGTGGGGTTTCTCTGCAAGGCTGGAGAGCAAAGGTCAGGGTGTCCAGAATCCTAGGTTATAACAACAATCCTGTGCTTAGCCTTTTTGTTTGTTTTCAGTGCTGAGGATGGAATCCAAGGCCTTGAGTATTCTGAACAAACGCTATTACCACTGGGCTGCATATATATATTCCCAGCCTCTTCCCTTGCCTGAAATTGGTGGAACTTTCTTTCTTCCTCTGAGAACATTTTGTTTATTTTTTACTTTTTGCCAGTCCTGAGCTTGAACTTTGGGCCTGGACACTGTTTTTGTGTTCCTTTTGCTAAAAGTTAGCACTTTTCCACTCCAGCCACAATGTCACTTCCAGCTTTTTTTATTTAATTGGAGATAAGAGTCTCAAGACTTTTCCTGCCCAGGCTGTCTTCAAACGGCGATCCTCAGATCTCAGCCTCCTGAGTAGGACAGGTGTGAGCACCAGCACCGGGCCAAATGAAGGTTTTAGATTAGACTCTAAGGTCTTTTCCAACTCTGACACTATTTGTAGTACTATAAGTATCCCTATTTGTTAGGAGTTTGGAAAGCTGAACTTTTAGGGCAGTTGAAAGAGTAAATTGATAAGGGAACTTATCTTGTAGGAGACTGCCTCCTGTCCATCAAGCCCCAAGAGAAGTCAGAGGGACTGCAGCTTAATTTTCAGCAGGTAAGGGAATAGTTCTGCAGAGACGGGTTGCAGGTTTGGGAACATTGGCACTGTTGAGAGAAGCCTTTGCCGCTTTTAAAGAGAGTTGATTTTTTTTTTGTGGTGGGGGGGGAGTGGAGTAGTACTGAAGTTTGGACTCAGAGCCTTGTACTTTCTAGGCTACTGAGCATACTTATGGCACTTAAAGAGGGTTTCTTTTCTTTTTTCTTTTTCTGTTGGTCGTGGGGCTTGAACTCTGGGCCTGGGCACTGTCCCTAAGCTCTTCAGCTCAAGGTGAGTGCTCTACCACTTGAGACACAATGCCTCTTCTGATTTTCTGGTGGTTAATTGTAGATGAGTCTCCTGGAAGCTGGGAGCTGGTGGCTCACATCTGTAATCCTAGCTACTCAGGAGGCTGAGATCTGAGGATCACGGTTCAAAGCCAGCCGGAGCAGGAAAGTCCATGAGACTCTTACCTCCAATAAAACCCTTAGAAAAGCAGAAGTGGTGCTGTGGCTCAAGTGGTAGAGCACTCACCTTGAGCTGAAGAGCTAAGGGGTAGTGCCCAGGCCCAGTGTTCAAGCCCCGCGACCGACAAAAAAAAAAAAGAACAAGAGTCTCATGGACTTTCCTGCTTGGGCTAGCTTTGAACTTCAATCCTCAGATCTCAACCTCCTGAGTAACTAGGATTATAGGTGTGAGCCACTGGTACCTGGCTTCTTTTTTATTTTTATTTTTTGTGTTGGTCCTGGGGCTTGAACTAGGTAGGGCCTGGGCATTACCCCTGAGTTTATTTGTGCAAGGCTAGCACCCTACCACTTGAGCCATAGCTCCACTTCTGGTTTTTTGGTGCATAATTGGAGATAGATCAGAGTCTCATGGACTTTCCTGCCCAGGCTGGCTTCAAACTGAGATCCTCAGATCTCAGCCTTCTGAGTAACTAGGATTATAGGTGTGAGCCACTGGTGCCATACTTAAGAGGATTTCTTTTCTTTCTTTCTTTCTCTCTCTCTTCCTTCCTTTCTTCCTTCCTTCCCTCCTTCCTTCCTTCCTTTCTTTCTCCCTTCCTTCCTTCCTTTCTCCCTTCCCTCCTTCCTTCCTTTCTTTCTTTCTTTCTTTCTTTCTTTCTTTCTCTTTCTTTCTTTCTTCTTTCTGTACTGGGGCTTGAGCTCAGGGTTCAAAGCTAGTGCTCTATCACTTGAGCCACAGCTCTCTATTTTCAACTTTTGGCTTAATGGTTAATTAGAGATGAGTCTCATAGACTTTCCTGTTCTATCTAGCTTTGAACCTCAATCTCAGCCTCGCAGGTAGCTAGGATTACAGGTGGCCCCCAGCTGTTTTATTTCTGGAGGTGGGAATGAGTCGTGTAGAGGAAGCTAGACTACCCGTCATTTTCTTTTCTGTCCGCAGAATGTGAATGATGCGATGACAGTGTTGCCTAAACTGGCCACAGGTCTGGATGTCAACGTGCGATTCACAGGTGTCTCTGACTTTGAGTATACGCCCGAATGCAGCATCTTCGACCTACTGGGCATACCTCTGTACCATGGCTGGCTGGTCGATCCCCAGGTGAGGGCAGGAGGCCCAGGGAGATTCTTTTCCAGCTCATGCTCACAGTAGTGAGGCCGATTTTTGTGAGGTGGAAATTAGATTGGTTTGGGAAGAGTACTAGGGCTAAACCTGGTGCTGAATTCCTTAATTTTTTTTTTTTTAGGGGGTAGCATTCTACTCCAAGCAAATCACATGCAAATAGGCTTAGTTCTGTAGACATCAAACGTTCAGGAACCTTTGATCATGGGGTGGCTTGGTTTTGTTTACCTTCTTTAAAAAAATTCAATTTAGGGCTGGGATGTAGCTCAGTGGCAAAGCGCTTGCCTAGCAAGTGCAACGTCCTGGGTTCGATCCCCAGTACCAAAAAAGAAAAAGACAAAAAAATTCAATTTATTATTTTAATTTTATTTATTTTTTGTTGGTCATGGGCCTTGAACTCTGGGCCTGAGCGCTGTCTCTCAGCTCTTCAGCTCAAGGCTAGCGCTCTACCACTTGAGCTACAGTGCCACTTCGGATTTTCTGGTGGTTTATTGGAGATAAGAGTTTCACAGACTTTCCTACTGAGGCTGGCTTTGAACTGTGATCTTCAGATTTCAGCCTCTTGAGTAGCTAGGATTACAGGCGTGAGCCACTGGCGCCTGGCTTTTTATTTTATTTCTGTCAGTCATAAGGTGTGAACTTAGGGCCTGGACGTTGTCCCTGAGCTCTTTTTCTCAAGGCTAGTCCTCTACCACTTGGAGCCATAGCTCCACTTCTGGCTTTATGGTGGCTAATTGGAGATAAAAGTCTCACAGACTTTCCTGCCAGGGCTGTTTTTGGACTCTGGTCCTCAGATATCCAGAGTAGTTAGATTACAGGTGTGAGCCACCAGCACCCAGCTTCAATATCTTTTTTGTCCCACCCCATCTTCCCAGAGTCCTGAGTCTGTGGGTGCTGTTGGGAAACTGAGTTACAACCAGCTAGTAGAGAAGATTATCACCTGCAAACATTCCAGCGACCCCAACCTGGTGACAGAAGGTGACACTCCTGCTTCCTCATGGATCATGTACTCGGGAACACTAATGCTTAGGTTTATTGTTTTCTGATTTTCACCTCCCACTACCTCCTACTAGGATATAAGCTCCACAAGACTGATAATTTATCTGGTTAGTTCACTGACGTATCAACCCAGTGCTTCATACATTACCAGACAACAAGGTAGCTGTTTATCAGTTGTTTTGTTTTCTGGAGATAGGGTCTCCCTGTGTAACTCAGGCTAGCCTTCAATTTGCTGTCTTCCTGCCTCAGTTTCTCAAAGGCTGAGTATTTCTTGAATACATGTATCCAGGCTTCTAGGAAGGGGTTTATCTCAACTTTTTGTGTGTGCCAGGGATGGTATCCCAGGCCACATACATGTGAAGCACCCACTGCACCACGGACCTACATCCGCAGCCCTTAGGAAGGGGATTCGGAAGATGGGACTCAGGAAGGCTTCTGACAAGGGCTTACTGCAGGATCCTCCTGAGGCTGGACTTTATTTTGTTGTTTGTGTCAGGATATGGCAGGGATCAAACCCAGAGCCTCTCAGGTGCTATTCAGGGGGCCATGGAGTTTGAATTTAAGCGAAGTTCCTCTGGTTTTTGTGTCTTCAGGCCTGATTGCAGAGCAGTTTCTGGAGACCACGGCGGCGCAGCTCACCTACCATGGCCTGTGTGAACTCACAGCGGCTGCCAAGGAAGGAGAACTTAGCGTCTTTTTCCGAAACAACCACTTCAGCACGCTGACTAAGCACAAGGTGGTGAGGGTTTGGAAGTGGAGGGGTTGCGGTGAGGTATTTCCCCATGCCTCTTTCTCTGGGTCAGTGTTTCAGTCGAGAGAAGGTGGGTTGAGCCAGCTGCCATGACCCACACCTGTAATCCTAGCTACTAAGACCACCGAGATTTGTGGATCGAGGTTCAAAACCAGCCTGGACAGGAAAGTCTGTGAGAGTCTTCTCTCCAGTTAGCCACCAACAAGCTGGAAGTGGAGTTATGGCTCAAGGGGTAGATGCTATCCTTGAGCAAAAGAGCTCTGGGCCAGCGCCCAGGCCCACTTCAAGTCCCAGGACAGGTACCAAAAAAAAAAGGGGGGGTTAAGAAAGGATATTGGGTTAAGTTGTATCAACACATTAGCCCTAAAATCCTGTGGTTTAGCACAACAATGACTTATTTCTCACTTATTCTGCATGTTCATTGGGAACCAGCTACATTCTGGCCCATACTGTCTTCACTCTGGGGCCCAGACTGACAGGAAGTGCTTTATCTGGTATATGTGGGAAAGGAGAGCAATACTCTGCACTCACTCTATGCTTCTTGCCTGGAAGTGACACATGGTCCTTTTGGCTCACATCTCAAGGCCAGAAGGAGCCATAAAGAGGGATGCAAGCCTGCTGTCAGCGGGCAGGAAAGCATAAGCCTCTCCCAAAAGGGGCAGTTGAAGCTTTTGAACGTGGTGAGTCTTCCAGAGTTACAAGTGGCCAGAGCTCTCTGGGAACTAAGTGAAGAGGGGAGAAGTCTCTGAGGACCAGGGGAAATAGGGTTGAAAGCAGGCCCTTGGGTTGATCAAAATCTCTACCATACTCACATCCCTTCCTTCTCCCTGCAGCTATACACATTTATGAAAGGCCCACATGCTCATACTGATATGTCTCAGTCAGCACACCAGTTGACTCAGAAGATCTTTTGACAGGGCTGGGAATGTGGCTCAGTGGTAGAGTACTTGCCTAGCATGCATGAAGCCCTGTGTTCAATTCTTCAGTTCCACATAAACAGAAAAAGCCAAAAGTGGCACTGTGGCTCAAGTGGTAGATCACTAGCCTTGAACAAAAGAACCTCAGGCAGTATCCAGGCCCTGAGTTCAAGCCACAGGTCTGGCAAAAAAAAAAAAGAAAAAATCTTTTTACATTTTTTTAAAATGCTGCCAGTATTAGGGCTTGAACTCAGAGCTTGGGCTCTGTCCCTGAGCTTTTTTGCTTAAGGCTAATACTCTACCATTTGAGCCATAGGTCTATTTCTGGCTTTGTAGTGGTTAAGTAGAGATAAGGAATCTTACGGCCAGGCTGGGTTTTTGCCCAGGCTGGGTTCAAACCATGATCCTCAGATCTCAGCCTCCTGACTAGGATTATAGGCAAGAGCCACCAGCACCTGAGTTCAAAAGGTCTCTAACTTCCTGCTGGCAGCAGTAACCTGAGTCCAAACACCTGCCTCACCAATTGCTCTGTCTTTTTTTGGCAGAGTCACTTGTATCTACTGGTCACCGACCAGGGTTTTCTACAGGAGGAGCAAGTGGTTTGGGAGAGCCTGCACAATGTGGACGGAGACAGCTGCTTCTGTGACTCTGACTTCCATCTAAGTCATTCCCTGGGCCAGGACCCTGGGGCCGAAGGTGGGAGTGGCTCCCCAGCAAAGCAGCTGCAGGTAGACCAGGTGTGTGAGGGACTCTGGGAAAGATGAAGAGAGCTCATTTGTCACAGAGAACTCTTTACCCTAAATGGGCTAGGTGCGTTTTATCATGTAGACATAACCCTTAACACCCCTGCTCCTTCACTGTAAGAATCACCTTGCTTGGTGTGTATTTTCTGGTACTGTGAATAATACACTATGTTTAAATTCAGAGAGGCAAGAACTGCAGATGTGGGGTGGGGGTGGGGGTAGGTGGATGGATGCATGCATGTGCCATTACTGGGGCTTGAACTCAGGACCTAGACACTGTCTCTTAGCTTTTTCTGCTCAAGGCTGCCACGCTAACACTTGAGCCACAGCTCCACTTCCAGCTTTTTGTTGGTTCATTGGAAACAAGAGTCTGTCTTCAAATTGCCATCCTTAAGGGCTGGGAAGGTGGCCCAGTGGTAGAGCACATGCCTTGCATGCATGAGGCCCTGGGTTTGATTCCTCAGTACCACATAAGCAAAAAGAAAAAAGCCAGAAGTGGCACTGTGGCTCAAGTGGTAGAGCGCTAGCCTTGAGCTGAAGACCTGAGGGATAGCGCCCAGGCCCCAGAGTTCAGGCCCCACGACTGGACCAAAAAAAACAAACAAACAAATTGCCATCCTCAGATCACAGCCTCCAGAAGTGGCTTGGATCGTATCAGTATTGCCCAGCGAGGGCTGGCCAATTTAAAGGAAACTCTGCTTTAGAAACATAACCTGAATCTCCATTCCAACGCCTTAGTCTACCTGGTGACTTTTGGTCTTTTTAGGACTACCTGATCGCCTTATCTCTACAGCAGCAGCAACAGCCACAAGGAACAGTGGGTCTTAGCGACTTGGAACTGGCCCAGCAACTTCAGCAGGAAGAATATCAACAACAGCCAATGGTCCAACCTGCACACACACGGGTCCTATCACCTCAGGTGAGCCTGCTCTGCTCTTCCCTCAGCACGCTGGGCCACCTGCCTCTGCCTGGTCCAGAACAAATATTATTCCTTCACTATTCTCTGCCAGGTTTCCGTCCCTCTTTTCCTGGCACCCCTCCCTATCTCTCTTCCCTACAGATCATGACACTTGCCTTCTAGAATCTCCTCTGTCCTTCGTGTTCTTCCAAGGTTGTTAGATAACCAACTGTTAAATCCCATTTAGGGGAGAGGAGCTGCATCTGGACGCTCAGCCGGAGAACGACGGCAGAGACCAAAGCCCGAGTCAGACTGTGTTCTTCTATAGCCCCGACTGATGCTGGGCAGACCTGCCCCTTCTTTCAGAGGCTAGCTTACTTCCCCACCTCAACCCTTGACACAGCAGGGTAATTTATTTATGGGCTAGTTGGAGTCAGAGCCGGCCGTAAATGTCCAGATCAAACTCCATACTGTCTTTGCCCTCAAGTGCTGCTGACTTCTCTTCCACCCAGCCAGGGCACCGCTGGGAGGGGTGGGGTGAAGATTTCTGGTTCCTAATTCCCTTTCCTCGAATAGTCATTGAATACACAGACTCAGGCACTAACTAGGATCAGGTCCCTATCTGGAATGCATCTCTCCTCTACTACCCTACCCTGCCTGCCTCAAGGCGCCTTGGCTACCCAGCAGGCTTGTTCCCATTTGTTTCAGGGTTTAATTTGGGTTTCTATCTTTGTTATTTGTAATGCCTTCCTAAGGGTTTGCAAATAAATTTCTTTCCTGAGATCAGTTGTTTGTTTTGCCCTGCAGCAGTGGGGTTAAATATTTGACCCAATTGAGGAATGTGAAAAGGGGGGGGTGGGAAAGGAAGGAGGGGGGGGGAAAGGAAGGAAGAGGGAGGAAGCTGCCTGTCATTTCCAATGGAGCCAGCAGGGGGAACCAAAGCCTGCCCCCTCTCTGTCTCTCTCTGTGCATGCACACGTGTACAAGCAAGCACACATGTGGGTCCTGGGCCATGTCCCTGAGCTTTTGTGCTCAAGTTCTACCACTTTGAGTCACAGCCCCACTTCAGGTGGTTAAGTAGGGGTAAAAGTCTCATGGACTTTCCTGCATAGGTTGGCTTTGAACCAGGATCCTCAGATCTTACCCTTCTGAGTAGCTAGGATTATGGGTGTGAGCTACTGGCACCTGGCACTGACTCTCTCCTTTCTTGCCAGTTCATCTAGATGGTGCTTAGCTACCTCTGATCTCATTCTGGTGTTTGTTCCTCAATTATCTTGCCTGAAATTTCCTGAGAGAGAATACAAAGGGTGAGGGGAGACCCAAGAGGGTGGATTGTGCGCAGAGGCAAAAACAGGATACCTTGCTGAGTAGCTAAGATCACATCAAAGGTACTTCCAGCTCCAAGGCCTCTTTCCTGGTCCATGTCCTGTTCCACCTGAACTTCAATCAAGGACCATGAACGATGGTGACATTTGCCAAAGAAATCAAGTACAAGCAATATGTCCTGGCCCAAATAGGGGAAGGATGAATGGGGCAAACGCGATGGAAGAGGTCCTATTACCCCACCCCAAGACAGAGGTAAAAGACTCAGGGACGGAAAAAGTTTTGAGATAAGGGAATTTAAGGGACTTAAACGTATAGCTTCAAGAAGATGAACTATGTGGTACTGGGTGAAAATATTCCATTCAGAGGCCCAGCTAGACTCCCACAGGCTCAGGCAAACATAGGCATTGCTCGTCTTTGAATGTCACGTGATGATGGGCCGGAAGGTGTCAGATGTCTTCTGCTCTGCACAAGGCCAGTAGGGCTGACCTGCAGTCTCCTTTCACTGTGTCCTGTCAGCAAGGAAGGAAGGGTTAGAAAGCCTACTGCCAGCCAGGTGCTGGAGGCTCATTCCTGTAATCCTAGCTACTCAGGAGGCTGAAATCTGAGGATTGTGGTTTGAAGTCAGCCCAAGCAAGAAATTCTGTGAGACTCTTCAATTAATTATCCAAAAAGTGGAAAGTAGGGGCTGGGAAGGTGGCTCAGTGGTAGAGTGCTTGCCTTGCATGCCTGAGGCCCTGGGTTCGATTCCTCAGCACCACATAAGCAGAAAAAGCCAGAAGTGGTGCTGTGGCTCAAGTGGTAGAGTGCTAGCCTTGAGCTGAAGAGCTGAGGGACAGCGCCCAGGCCCAAAAACCCACGACCGACCAAAAAAAAAAAAAAGGAAGGAAAGCTCTTTGCCACCATGGGCCAAGCAGTTCAACCCCTCCCTCAAGGGGTCCCCAGCTCATCTCAGAGGGAGCATGCTCCTGGCACTTATAGTCCTGAACTCAATTCACTGAATGTTCATGGGTTTTTGTGGGGGGTTTTTGGTCAGTCTTGGGCCTGAACTTTGGGCCTGGGTGCTGTCCCTCAGCTCTTCAGCTCAAGGCTAGCGCTCTTCCACTTGAGCCACAGCCCCACTTCCAGTTTTCTGAGTGGTTTATTGGAGATAAGAGTCTCATGGACTTTTCTGCCTGGGCAGATCTCAGCCCCCTGAGTAGCTAGGATTACAGGCGTGAGCCACCGGCACGTGGCTTGTTCATGTTTTATATGGTGAGTATGGTCAGCTGTGGGTAGGGAAGGTGGATGAAGATGAGGAAGTGAGGCTCTGGGGCTTCACACTACAAACTAGACAAGTTTTACCTGGAGAGAAGAATACAAAGACTTTCCAAATTTCTTCTTGAACTCAGCTCGGATGCTTAGGAGGTCAGTCTCACTTCGAGAGATAAGGATTCGCATGAGGACTTGGTAGTTGGGCTCAGTTTCCTGAGAAAGAAAGAAACAGATTAGGGTGGACAGTAAGATTTTCATTAATAATAAGGTTTGAGGGCTGGGAAGGTGGCTCAGTGGTAGAGCGCTTGCCTTCATGCATGAGGCCCTGGGTTCAATTCCTCAGCACCACATAAGCAGAAAAGGCCAGAAGTGGCGCTGTGGCTCTGGTAGAGCACTAGCCTTGAGCTGAAGAGCTGAGGGACAGTGCCCAGGCCCAGAGTTCAGGCGCATGACTGACCAAAAAAAAAAGAATAAGGTTTGACATTGAAAAGCAGTCTGGAGGTTCCTCGGAAAACTAAATATAGACCTCCCCTATGACCCAGCCATACCACTCCTAGGCATCTACCCTGAGCAACAGAAGCCAGGATACTAGGACACATGCACCTCCATGTTCATTGCAGCCCTGCTCACAATAGCCAAGATATGGAAACAACCCAGATGCCGCACTACAGATGAATGGATCCAAAAATTGTGGTACTTATATTCAATGGAATATTATACAGCCATTAGAAAGGATGAAATAATGGCATTTGAAATGGATGGAACTAGAAGAAAATCATTTTGAGTGAGGTAAGCCAAGAGCAAAGAGACAAATGGCACATGGTCTCCCTGATATGTGGATGTTAAATCCAAAACATAAGGAGATAAGAAACAAAGGACCTCCACTCATCTGGTCATCATTACAAATGACCCCGTGCTGCTGAACACATATATGGTATATATGCACACATCTGAGGGTAGCTAGAAGGAAAACACAGAAACAGAGGGAAATGGGAAAACATACATCAGCTGCACTGGACATTGATGAAAACGAACTAAGCAACTCAATGGCAGCAATGGGAGGGAGGGAATGAGAGGGAAAGAGGGAACAGCTGACACTAAGCAACAGGAAAAAATGTACATATCACCCCATGTGGAAGAAATAGCTGTATTGTCAAAGCTCATAGAATTCACAAGCTTTATAGACCACAATAATGACAATGTGCCCCATGAAGGTTAGAATGTGTTTGTGACTTTAATATTACTATCTCACAATACTATGAAATTTGTGAAATTTATGTAATCACTTAAACATAATAGAAATATATATATATAAATTTTTTCCCCCGGGTCCGGTAGTGGGGCCTAAACACTGGACCTGGGCGCTGTCCCTCAGCTCTTCAGCTCAAGGCTAGCGCTCTACCACTTGAGCCACAGCACCACTTCCAGCTTTTTTCTTTTTGCTTATGTGGTGCTGAGGAATCGAACCCAGGGCCTCAGGCATGCAAGGCAAGTGCTCTACCACTGAGCCACCTTCCCAGCCCTATATATATTATTTTAAAAAGAATAAGGTTTGAATTGGCTGCTGGTGGCTCATACATGTAATCCTAGCTACTCAGGAGACTGAGATCTGAGGTTGCCCTTCGAAGCCAACCTGGGCAAAAAAGTCCATGAGACTCTTATCTCCAATAAACTAGTCAGAAAAAGCTAGAAATAGCACTGTGGCTCAAGTGGTAGAGCAAAAAGAAGTTCAAGACAGCACCCAGGCCCTGAGTTCAAGCCCTAGAACCAGGAAAAACAAAAACATTGTATTTCATTGTTGTTGTTTTGAATGTGTGCAGGTTCTAAAACTTGAACTCAGGGCCTAACTTGAACTCTGAACTTTATTGCTCACTGTACTACTTAAGCCATAGCTCTACTTCTGGCTTTTTGATATTTTAATTGGAGATAAGAATCTCATGGACTGGGGCTGGGAAGGTGGCTCAGTGGTAGAGCACTTGCCTTGCATGCTTGAGGCCCTGGGTTCGATTCCTCAGCAACACATAAGAAAAAAGCTGGAAGTGGCGCTGTGGCTCAAGTGGTAGAGCGCTAGCCTTGAGCTGAAATGCTGAGGGACAGCGCCCAGGCCCAGAGTTCAGGCCCCACGACTGGACCCCCCCTCAAAAAAAAAAAAAGAATCTCATGGACTGGGGCTGGGAAGGTGGCTCAGTGGTAGAGCTCTGGGTTCCATTCCTCAGCACCACATACACAGAAAAAGCTGGAAGTGGCACTGTGGCTCAAGTGGTAGAGTGCTAGCCTTGAGCTGAAATGCTGAGGGACAATGCCCAGGCCCAGAGTTCAGGCCCTATGACCAACAACACAAAAAGGGGGTGGCTAGTAAGGTAGCTCAGTGGTAGAGTGCTTGCCTTGCATGCATGAGGCTCTGGGTTCGATTCCTCAGCACCACATAAGCAAAAAGAAAAAAAAAAGAATCTCATGGACTTTCTTGTTCCAGCTGGCTTTGAACTATGATCCTCAGATCTCAGCTTCCTGAGTAGATAGGCTTATTTAGGCATGAACCTATATTTCTTCTGGAGTAATTATCATGGACTTCATGGCTACTTCATTAACTTTCATGAGTCATCAGTTGTCATAAAGACTGGCAATTGTTCCTCAGTATACATTCCATTCCTCCCTAATTCTTTTTTTTTAGACTCAGTCTCACTGTGTTGCCCAAGATAGCCTTGAATTCAGTCTTCCTGCCTCACCCTCCCCAGGGCTGGAAGTACAGGCCTGAGCCAGCACGTCTGGCTCTTTATCCCAATCTTATCCTACTAACAAAGGTGTAGAACTGAGGCAAGAGCCATTCATTAACTGAATATTCTCACCGATGTGCAAGTACTCTTTACACCAAAGCTATACTAAACATAATTCTAGTCTTAGCACTTAAAAATACACTTGGCATCTCATAATGCCCAGGGCTTTCACCGGGAACCTTCACGGAGAGTTCAGATGGAGCTGACGGCATGGCTTGAGCAGTAGAGCACCTGCCCCGCAGCATGAAGCCCTCAGCTTAAATCTCAGTACCACCAAAAAAAGAGTTCAGATTGATTCAAACATGTTCCAAATTAGCCTTCACTAGAAGTTATTTTTCTAAACAAAAATTCTTCACAATCTCTCAGAAAAGTCTCTCAGAAAAAAATACTATAAGAGTACGGTGATCTTGTTTTTTTTTTCCCCCTTTTAAAGAAATTCAGGGCCAGGCGCTGGTGGCTCACGCCTGTAATCCTAGCTACTCAGGAGGCTGAGATCTGAGGATCACGGTTCAAAGCCAGCCCGGGCAGGAGAGAACATGAGACTCCTATCTCCAATAAACCACCAGAAAACTGGAAGTGGCACTGTAGCTCAAGTGGTAGCGTGCTCGCCTTGAGCTGAAGAGCTGAGGGACAGTGTCCAGGTTCAGAGTTCAAGTCCCACGACTGACAAAAAAAAAAAAAAAAAAGAAATTCAGGGAGCTGGGGGAGGTGGCTCAGTGGTAGAGTGTTTGCCTTGCATGCCTGAGGCCCTGGGTTCAATTCTTCAGCACCACATAGGCAAAAAAGCCGGAAGCGGTGCTGGGCTCAAGTGGTAGAGCATTAGCCTTGAGCTGAAGAGCTCAGGGACAGTGCCCAGGCCCAGAGTTCAGGCCCACAACCAACGGGGGAGGGGGGGGAAGAGCCGGGCGCTAGTGGCTCACACCTGTAATCCCAGCTACTCAGGAGGCTGAGATCTGAGGATCGAGGAGGCTGAGATCTGAGGATCGAGGTTCAAAGCCAGCCTGAGCAGTAAACTCCGCGAGAATAACCACCAGAAAACTGGAAGTGGTGCTGTGGCTCAAGCGGTAGAGCGCTCACCTTGAGCTGAAGAGCGCAGGGACAGCAACCAAACCCAGAGTTCAAGCCCCCCAACGGACCAAAAAAAAAAAGAAAAGAAATTCAGAAAAATGGTCCAATTTTTTTTTCTAACTTGAACGATAAACTTGACATTTACATTCAAGAATGTAGGTCCTATATAATCCCAATAGTCTGGAAAATGACTAATGGGGCTGGGAATGTGGCTTAGTGGTAGAATGCTTGTCTAGCATGCATGAATCCCTGGGTTTGATTTCTCACTACCACATAAGCAGAAAAAGCCAGAAGTGGCACTGTAGTTCAAGTAGTAGAATGCTAGCTTTGAGCAAAAAGAAGCTCAGGGACAGTGCCCAGGCCCTGAGTTTAAGTCCCAGATTGGAAAAAATAAATCATGGAATGCTGGCATACATGTATGTTTGCACGCACATGAGTGTACTACAGAGTACTCTGCCACTGAACTACACTCCCAGCCCACAAGTTATTTATTTATTTTTTTTTGGTCGGTCATGGGGCCTGAACTCTGGGCCTGGGCGCTGTCCCTCAGCTCTTCAGCTCAAGGCTAGTGCTCTACCACTTGAGCCCCGGCTTTTTTGCCTATGTGGTGCTGAAGAATTGAACCCAGGGCCTCAGGCATGCAAGGCAAACACTCTACCACTGAGCCACCTCCCCCAGCTCCCTGAATTTCTTTTTTTTTTTTTTTTTTTTCAGTCGTGGGACTGTCGTGGGGCTTGAACTCTGGGCCTGGGCGCTGTCCCTCAGCTCTTCAGCTCAAGGCGAGCGCTCTACCACTTGAGCTACAGCGCCACTTCCTGACATAGGAGTTTACACAGGGCAGAAACTGTATGTTATGGCTTACTAGCTGTGTGGCTTTGGACAAGGTACTTAACCTCTTTGTGCTCAGTTTTCTCATCTGAAAGCAGAATGGCTTGGAGGATTATTGAGGTATGTCACATACTGATAGGCCCTGGCACACAATGAGCACCTAAGGAGCATTGGTTCTTGCCATTAACACTATTGCTAAATTTATTGCCTCGACCTCTGCCATCTGATGATGGACAAGGCACTGTCTTACAAAGCAAATTCATATCTCTATTTGATCCCCTAGACATTCATAATACCAACACTTTAGCTTCAGTGCCCTCATGGGTATCGCTCAGTTCTAATGACAACTTACTCCTCAGTGCTTGACAAGACAGTGTGTAAACACTGTACGAGAGCTACAATAGGTTTATAAAGTGCATAGGAGATTGTTCCAAGCCAGGCACCAGTAGATCATGTCTGTAACTCTAGCTACTCAAGAGGCTGAGATCTAAGACTCTTAGCTCTAATTAATTAGCAAAAAGCCAGAAGTGGAGTTGTGGTTTAAGTGGTACAACACCAGACTCAATTTTTTTTTTTTTTTTTGCTGGTTGTGTTATGGGGCTTGAACTCTGGGCCTCAGAACTGTTCCTCACCTCTTCAGCTCAAAGTGAGCGCTCTACCACTTGAGCCACAGCAACACTTCTGGTTTTCTGTTGGTTAATTGGAGATATGAGTCTCATGGACTTTCCTGCGTGGGCTGGCTTTGAACCGTGATCATCAGATCTCAGCCTCTTCAGTAGATAGGATTATAGGTGTGAGCCACTGGCACCTAGCATTTGATCTTTTTATTGTGTTTGTTTTTTGTTTTTACCAGTCCTGGGGCTTGAACTCATGGCCTGGGTACTGTCCCTGAGCCTCTCTGTACTCAAGGCTAATGCTCTGCCACTTGAGCCACAGTGCCACTCCAGCTTTTTCTGTGTATGTGGTACTGAGGAATTGAACCCAGGGCTTCATGTATGCAAGCAAGCACTCTACCACTGAGCCACATTCCCAGCCCCCAACACCCGACTTGAACAGACCAAAAAGCTAAGGGACAATGGCCAGGCTTTCTCTCTCTCTCTCTCTCTTTCTCTCTCTCTCTCTCTCTCACACACACACACATATGCAAAAATGTTCTAAACAACCTGGAAAAATCTCTTCCCATGGGAGGGAGAAGGAGTATACCTCTCACCTGCAGGGCTAACTGAAGTTTGTCTGCAAAGTACAGTGGAGTGTTCCTGATCACGGAGGCTGGAAGCAAAGAGGGAAGGATGGAGGGCCACTGTCAGAGCCCCAGCTCCCCATCCCAGCAGAGAACCTTGCCCCACACATCCACAGCAGTTCCCTACCTAGGCTGAGCAGGGCCGCCTGGGCATCTTCGTGGAAATGCTTCCTGATTGCTTCCTCCACCTCTTGCCCAGTGCACCGCTGGTACTGATCAAACACTTGTGAGGTGAAGAAAACCAATTGAAGGGAAGGAGAATTAATTATCACAGAGAAAGATGATCCCATCCCTTCTGCCCTCATCCTCCTTAGCCTAACTCATCGTTAGAGAAAGCTGGGGTTGGGGGGAAGGGAGTGTTCAAGAAGGCTGTGTGTACCTCGAACAAGGTGTTCAGGATTGCGCTGGGTGAAGATTAGGATCCATGGGTCTTCTGTGCTGGGCTTTGCAGACTGTTGTAGTGCCTGGGGAGAGAGGAGGGAATCAGCTAGAAGTGAAGCGGGATCTTTCCCTTGGGGTGCCGCTGTTCCAGCATGATGGACGTGGATTGGGAGTGAAAGGGTGATTTTTTTTCACCTTTAAGTTTTTTTAAATTTCAATTTTAATTTTTTATTATTATTAAGAGATGTAGCCTGGTGCTGATCACTTATGCCCATAATCCTAGCTACTCAGGAAGCTAAGATCTGAGCACTGCAGTTTGAAGCTAGCCCAGACTCTCATCGCCAATAAACCACCAGAAAACCGGAAGTGGCGCTGTGGCTCAAAGTGGTAGAGTGCTAGCCTTGAGCTGAAGAGCTGAGGGACAGCGCCCAGGCCCACAGTTCAAGCCCCACGACCGACAAAAAAAAAAAAAAAGAGCTCAGAGACAGGGTCCAAGCCCTGAGTTCAAGCCCTATGACAGACAATCAATCAATCAATCAACAATCAATTGAGTTGATGTACTGTTATATAAGTAGGTAATGAGTAGGGTTTTTTTTGTTTTTTTATTTTTGCCAGTCCTGGGGCTTGAACTAAGGGCCTGGTCACTGTCTCTGTGGCCTTTTCTGTGTATGTGGTACCCAGGGCTTCACCCATTTGAGACAAGGACTCTACCATTAAGCCACATTCCCAGCCCCTGAGTATGTTTCTTTTGGGACAATGTCACTGCTTCTCTTGCTCTCTCCCAGTTTTTCCCTCTTAGACCCATTCACAAGTTGTATAGTTTATTTTCAACATAGTGGTGAGTTTGTTTTGGTGTCAGTTTGATCTCCAGGACTGTGTGCTGTCCCTGAGTTGTTTGTCTGTTTCTTGTTTTCTCAAGGCTAGAGCTCTACCACTTGAGCCACAGCTCTACTTCCAGCTTTTTGCTGGTTAATTAGAGATAAGGGTCTCACAGACTTTCCTACCAGGGCTGGCTTCAAACCATGATTTTCAGATCTCAGCCTCCTGAGTAGGATTACAGGTGTGAGCCCCAGGTGCTTGCCATCGTTTGTTGAGAGAGGCCCTATATTTGCAACTCTATCCCTTGATTTGGGAAAAATCCTTGTTCTGAGGAATTAAATAATTTCCAATCCCTAAGACAAGATCTAGGGAAGCTTCCTTGACCCCAGAGTCCTCCTGAGGAGTGTGTCAGCAGCAGAGGGGAAGGGGAAGGGAGAGGGGCACACCTCCTGCAGCAGAAACGAGTTGACAGGGCAGACAGGTAGATGGATCTAGGCCCAAAGATGCGATGGTGAAGGGGCGCTGTGCACACTCTCCCAAGCCCCTGGCTCACCTGGACGTCCTGTTCTGCCAGATTGTAGTCGATGATTCCAGAGTAGCTCTCCCGGCTTCCCTGCAAGGAGACACTGTTCTTAGGAAGACTTTGTGAGAGACAGCTCTTACTTTTCATCTCCAGATGAACAAACCAGACCCTGGCCTCCCTAAAGCCTTTGCTTGTCCGCCATGCCCCCTGCTCTCTCGCCCATCCCCAGATCGGAGGTGTGAAACTCCCTTCCTTTTCAAGCCGGTCCTCACCTTGGCCAGGGCCAGGAGCAGGTCCCGCAACATGCCACAGGTGTTACACTTGATGTCCGCCTCAACCTCCACCTGGAAATCTGGAGTGGGGACAGGAGCTCTCTGATCCCTCCTGATTTCTCCCTCCCCTCATAATAGAGAGGGTAGAGGTCCCCGGGACGGGTTGCATGTCTGACCCACTGTGTCCTGCCATCCTGGCTATTTCCACTGGTAATAACCTAATGGCTGTTCATTCCCAGGATGTCAGACACAAGTGCCAGTGTGACCACTCAAAAAGCATCCCAAAGCTGTGAGGTGGGCGTGGCCTCATTCCTTCTCTTCTATCATTGCAGTGGTGTCCAGCTGGGGAAATGGATCCCGTGAAGCCAGATGGCTAGGGCCTAGCCCTCCATCCGGACTCCCAGTGATGGAGATAGGACACAGTGCAGAAGAAGAACAAGAAAAGGAGGAACTGAAGGAAAATGAGGAAAGCATGGGCTGGGGGTATAGCTCGGTGCCAGAATACTTGTCTGGCACATGCTAAGATCCTGAGTTCTATCCTCAGCACCATGAAGAGAAAGAGGAGGAAGAAGGAGGGAAGGAAGGAAGGAAAGAAGGAAGGAAGGAAGGAATTAAAAACAATGGCCAAGATTGGGGAAAGCAAGATAAAGGAGTAAAATGGTAAGAAGATATGGGACCCAGGCACCTGTGGCTCACATCTGCCATCCTAGCTACTCAGGAGGCTGGTTACAAATTAGAGGGTAAGGCCTGTCTGTGGCAACCGGGCAGGGCCAGCTTCTTGGGCCTGAAAGGTGACATCCAAGACTTAAAGGCCCCACCTTACCTCCAGGCTTCAGGGAGGCCTAAGGTTGACCCCGGGACTACGGGGGTGACAGGAGTCCCTTTGAAACTGTTCCGGAGTCTAAAGTTGTTATTACTTTTCCAATCTGCCCTGAAGTCTCAGAGGAGGATAGTTTATCTTTGTTTCTTTGTCTTTAATGACAACATCTGCTTGTTTCCTCTGGGAAAACTGAGGCACTGGCTGGGGAGAGAGCCTGAGGGAATGGAACTTGGTCATCCGGGTTCTCAGATGGCTCAGCTGAAGGGGAGTACTGGAGAGGAATGGACTGTCCTGTGGACCCCTCTCCCTCTCTTGTGACCCCCCCTCTTGAATTCTTACTGTGTTTGTAGACTGCCAGGCACTCCTGCAGCCTGGCTGGAGCTCGGGTGGCAAGAATTTCCATGGCTACATCCTCAGCAGAACCTGAGGCCTATAAGAAATGAGGAGGCTGATCTGAGATTGGACCAGGTCAGTAGCACAGCAAAATGGCAGATGGAAAGGCAGAGAGCAGACACGGGCTACTGTCCACCCTGAGTCACCGGGTGGTTAGGAGGCTAGGCACCAAGTCCACCCTCTGGAGTGGGCAAAGCCCAAGGAGTTGGCCCTCTCCTTCCCTCAGTGCTGTCCTCGGTCCTTGGACACCTCAGCCAGTGTCCTCTCCTGCTACCTTCAAGGCTGTCCTCAATTCCTGGGCATCAAATTGGGCTGGGGGCTGCAGCAGAGCCACCACGATCCTCTCCAGGTTGCCCGAGAGTGCGGCCTGCAGTGACTTCAGCAGGTCCTGAAATAAATGCCCCCCATGGCAGAGGCAGCGGGGTTCAGGAGGAGAGCTCCAGAAGTGTGTGTGTGTGTGTGTGTGTGTGTGTGTGTGAAAGAGAGAGAGAGAGAGAGAGAGAGAGGGGAGAGAGATCTGGCTAGTTTTCATTTTATTTCAAGCATCAGTTTCCCGTTTAGCCAGAATGCAGGGGCTAGCTTTGGCGGCAGTTGATGCTGCACCCCAAATCCCCCCCGTGGGTCCTCACTCTAGTCCTCTGTTCCTGGGAGGCCAGAGTGAGTGGTCTCACCTGTTGGGTTCGTTCCTGGAAGGCTCGCGAAATGAGCTGTCTTTGCTCTCTGCTCCGATTTGTTAGGACATCAACAATGGCGCCATGGTCCACACCTGGACCGAGGGGAGAGCCAGGCTATCACCAGGGGCTCTGCAAGGGGATCCCCTACACCCCAGAACAGAGAACAAGGCCTAAAAAGGCCTGGGAAGGGAAGAAGTCAGGGTGACTTCACCCCTACTTCCATTGGCTCTCAAAAGAAAATGCAAACAAACTGCCAAAATGGAAATTGAACTCAAATTTCACCCAAATTCAAGCCACAGTAATCTGGTGTGATGATTAAAAAAAAAAAAAATTCCGAGGCACTGGTGGCTCACACCTGTAATCCTAGCTACTCAGCAGGCTGAGATCTGAGGATCACAGTTCAAATCAGCCTAGGCAGGAAAGTCCATGAAACTCACCTCCAATAAGCCACCAGAAAACCAAAAGTGGTGCTGTGGCTCAAGTGGTAGAGTGCTCGCCTTGAGTTGAAGAGCTGAGCGACAGTGCCCAGGCCGAGTTCAAGCCCCACGACGGACAAAAAAGAAAAAAAGGAAAGGGCTGGGAATGTGGCTCAGTGGTAGAGTGTTTGCCTAGCATGCATGAAGACCTGAGTTCAATTTCTCAGTACCACATAAACAGAAAAAGCCAGAAGTGGCACTGTGGCCCAAGTGGCAGAGTGCTAACCTTGAGCACAGAGAGGCTCAGGGATAGTGCCCAGGTCCTTCCTGAGTTCAAGCCCCAGGACTGACTAAAAAAATTTTTTTAAAAGGAATAAAAAGAATATTTGTTTGTTTGTTTGTTTTTGGTCAGTTGTGGGGCTTGAACTCTGGGCCCGGGAACTGTCCCTCAGCTCTTCAGTTCAAGGCGAGCACTCCACCACTTAAACCATAGCACCACTTCTGGTTTTCTGGTGGTTTATCCGAGATGAGTTTCATGGACTTTCTTGCCCAGGCTGGCTTGAACTGTGATCCTTAGATCTCAGCCTCTTGAGGAGCTAGGATTACAGGCGTGAGCCATCAGCTCCCAGCTTTTTTTTTTTTTTTGTAACTTGGATCAGAATCTGTGGTGCTTTTATGAGCGATGTCACTTCGAGCAAACCTCTTCATCTTCCTTAGTCCTAATTTCCTCATCTGTAAAATGGAAGCAATAAGCCTGCCTCCCTCCTGTCAGCGTGGGCATGACACTCTGCCACGGCACTTGACAGAGAGAAATTAAGGCATTTGACAAACACTTCTGAGAATGAGCCATCCTAAATGTGGCACCAGTGGCTCACGCCTGTAATCCTAGCAACTCAGAAGGCTGAGATCTGAGGCTCAACCTGCAAAGCCAGCCCAGGCAGGAAAGTCGAAACTCTTATCTACAATTAACCATCCAAAAACCAGAAGTGGAGCTATGGCTCAAGTGGTAGAGTGCTAGCCTTGAGCACTAAAGCTCAGGGACAGTGCTCAGGCCCTGAGTTCAAACTCTAGGGCCAGCATAAGAGTACATGCGCACACACATGAATGCATGTGTGCAGACACACATACACACACTGGCAATTTTAACTTTCTGGCTCCTCTTAGGTCTATAGATTAGCTTGTAAAAGGTCATTCCTAATTGTAGAAGAAGAGGGCTCACCTTGGCCTGTAATGGCCTTCAGCAGCCTCTGCACATCCTTATCCACACTGAAGCTTAAGAAGGTCCTGAGAGTACCCAGGGTTCCCCAAGCGGCAGTCTGTAAGAACACGACACAAGAGGGAATATTGCCCAATGGCTCCACCTTGGCACAAACTCAGGAAGGGTCCTCCACTCACAGCCCCTGAGTTAGCACATTAGAAACAATCCTGGCGTCTGGTGATGGTGGTTCACACCTGTAATTCCAGCTACACAGGATGCTGAGATCTGGAGGATCAGAGTTCAAAGCCTGGACAGAAAAGTCCATGAGACTATCTCTAAAATTAACCAGCAAAAAGCTGGCTGGCATGGCTGAAATAGTAGAGCAAGTTCAAGGCCCTGAGTTAAAAGTGTCCCTTACTGCCAGGCGCTGGTGGCTCACGCCTATAATCCTAGCTACTCAGGAGGCTGAGAAGGGCTGGGAAGGTGGCTCAGTGGTAGAGCGCTTGCCTTGCATGCATGAGGCCCTGAGTTCGATTCCTCAGTACCACATAAGCAGAAGAAAAAAAAAGCTGGAAGTGGCGCTGTGGCTCAAGTGGTAGAGTGCTAGCCTTGAGCTGAAGAGCTGAGGGACAGCACCCAAGCTCCATGACGAACCAAAAAAAAAGTGTCCCTTACCGATGGGTGCCAGTGGCTCACGCCTGTAATCCTAGCTACTCAGGAGGCTGAGATCTGAGGATCACAGTTCCAAGCCAGTCTGAGCAGGAAAAGTCCCTGAGACTATCTCCAATAAACCACTCAGAAAACTGCAAGTGGCACTGTGGCTCAAGTGGTAGAGCACTTGCCTTGAAGAGCTGAGGGACAGCGCCCAAGCCCAGAGTTCAAGCCCCATGACCAACCAAAAAAAAAAAAAATGTGTCCCTTACCTCTCTCCCCCTCCCCCCAACCACTGCACTGGCAAAAGAGGCAGAAGGAAGGAAGGAAGGAAGGAAAGAAGGAAGGCAGGCAGACAAGGAAGGAAGAAAGAAAGGAAAAATCCTGGCCTAGGAGCCTGGCTCAAGGGTAGAGCACCTGCCTAGCGAGTACAAGGTTGTGGGTCTGGAGCGTTTATCTCCGGGGTAGAGCTCTTGCCTGACACATATAAAGCCCTGGGCCCCCATAAATATTATTTAGATAGATAAATTCCTAAAATTCCAGCAGTCTCTACCTTGCTGGCAAGACCCAGGTAGCTGAGTATCTCTCGCGTCACGGACTGTCCCATACTGTCGCTGCTCACAGACATTGTACAACCGACCTCCCTAAGGAAGGAAACGGGGATGAGTTGAGGTGACTCTCCTCCTTGGGGCTACCATGACTGCCCTCCTCATGTAGACTCGGGGGGGGGGAGGATAAGAGGGAACTTCCCACTTTCCCCACCTGTCACCCTCCTTAGGCAGCAAGCACTGACTGGAAAGACTTGGACCCAAGACTTTTCAGTCCTTAGCCAGAGGGGGTGTTTCCTTCTGAGGTCTAAGTCCTTCCAGGTCCCCGGGCAGTGCAGGGGAGTTCAGGGGATGTGGCTCCATTCAGCACACGGGAGAGGAGACAGCTCCTACTCCTGCCTCCCTCCCACAGGTAAGCCCTCGACCCCTGGCCACCAAGTTGCCTACCTGCTTGTCTGCCTTTCTCCCTAGGAATCTCAGGCTGGGGTCTTCAGGTCAGCAGGTGCAATCTCTGAGCTGATGGATGTGTCCTTGTGGGGACATGGGTCCCTGAACAAGACAGCAGAGCTTCTCAATCTGGGGAAGGAAAACATTTCCCCTTCTCCAAGTCATCCACAAGCCCCTCTCCCAGACCTGAGGGCCAGCACTTACCCGATGGAGCTAGAGGTAGGTTTGGTGGTGGTCTAGTGGCTTGCCTGTGTGGGCACCAGCTGGTGTGTAGCCTGGTAGGAGAAGGGGGCGTGGGCAGTCTCGGCTGAGCAGCTGGTCAGATGACCTCTCTTGTAGACCAACCCAGCTGCTGTTTTAGGCGTCGGCCCCTCCCAGCTGTGGGAGAGGACCAGGCAGTCAGTACCCGGTCCACAGACAAACACCTCTCTGCCTAGCATCTCTCCTCCCAGGAACTGGGCCTTAACCCACGCAAGTGAACTCAGCCTGACTCTGGGCAGCTCAGCCGGACACAGGAGGCTTTGTGCATTGGTTTCCCTGTGGGGCCAGGTGGGACCTCAGAAGCCTGAAGTCCAGCTTCTGACCCAGCTCTGCCTCTGGCTCCCGCTCCCTGGGGGGCAGGTCAGACAAGCTCGGGGCCGATTTCAAGACTGATAGAGAAAAACCAGTTAGGGCACATACCAGTAGGGCACCCCAGCCTGCACCCCACAGGGGGGTCCCAGCCCAGAAACTTCCTTGATGACTGCCTTATGAAAGCCAGCCAGCCTGGGTGGGGAAGACAGGGGACTGTTTATATCTGTGAAGAAGGAAGGGCCTAGGTAAGCAGGGGTGGGATGGGCAGAGTCAGGAGAGAAAAATGTGCAGGGCGTTTCCTGCATACTCATGGGAGCATCCTGCTTCCAAAGACTATGGATAAAGAAGGATAAAGCTCCCTGGGCCCTGGGTTTTTTTTAGATTCTTCCAGTTGCCTTTTGGCTGCTGGTGCTCTCGAGATGTTTCTGCTGCTGGTGATGCAAGCTCAGCACCTGTGCTCAAGGCGGCTCAGGGCACAGAGCAGCACAGAGCAGCAGGTGAAAGTCTTGTGGAGCCTCAGGAGGCCTGAGCGGTGGCTCCAGCCTCAACCCTCTAGGGGTTCAAGGCATTCTCCTTCTTGCCTGGCATGGAACCGGCATTACTTGTCTTCACGCCTCTCCTAATTGCCCAGACCAGGAGACTGCTCCCGGTTTTCCTGTATCCCTAAAAGAAGGATTTACAGTGCTTCCACAGTCACCTCACAAGAACATCCCAGCCTGGGGAAACACCACTAAGAAAGATTTCCAAGGTAACTAGTTACTTTTCATTTTTCTTTTGTATTAAAATGGTAAACCTGGAGCCAGCAGGCATGGGTTCAAGCCCAGGCTCCGCCAATTGTAAGGTTCTATCCACTTAAGTCATTGGAGCCCGCTAAATGGCTCTACTGGGGAAGAGACTGAGCTTGGGAGATATGCCCGGGCATCTGAGGACAGGTTTCCTGGGAGGAATAAATGAGATAATGTGTATAATAGCACGTGGCAGACAAAACTACCTTGTAAATGAGAGGTGTTAGGGTGAGCAAACAAAAATACAGGACACCCAGTTAAATTAGAATTTCAGATAAACAATGAATGATTGTCGGTGTGACTCAAATATTTCATGTAATAGATTTCTGCCCTATGTTTACCTGGTGTTAGCTGGGTGTCCTGTGTTTTACCTGGCACCATGGAAAGCGGGACTGAGTCTTAGCATGGTAGCCAGAAGCAGAAGTGCTGGAGCCAAACTTGGCAAGTCAGAGTTCTGATCTCTGTCTGTTGCTGGGTAAGAACCTTAGCCTTTCTGTGCTCAGTTTCTCATCTTCAAAACAGACATAGTACATAGCACTAGTCACAGGAGCCAAGCTGTGGAATCAGCCTATGTGCCTACTGACCTGTAATGAATTAAAGAAAATGTGGTATATATAGAGTGTTCCATAGAGCATTCCTCAGACATAAACAAGAACAAAACTAGGCCGGGTGCTGGTGGCTCACGACTGTAATCCTCGCTACTCAGGAGGCTGAGACATGAGGATCAAAGTTCAAAGGCAGCCCGGGCAGGAAAGGCCATGAGATTCTTTTTTTTTTTTTTTTCTTTTGTCAGTTGTGGACCTTGAACTCTGGGCCTGGGCGCTGTCCCTCAGCTCTTCAGCTCAAGGATAGTGCTCTACCACTTGAGCTACAGCGCCACTCCTGGTTTTCTGGTGGTTTATTGGATATAAGAGTTTCACAGAGTTTCCTGCCCGGGGTGGCTTTGAACCGAGATCCTCAGATCTCAGCCTCCTGAGTAGCTATGAGCCACCGGCACCCGGAGGCCATGAGATTCTTATCTCCAATAAACCACCAGAAAACTGGAAGTGGCGCTGTGGCTCAAGTGGTAGAGTGCTAGCCTTGAGCTGAAGAGCCGAGGAATAGTGCCCAGGCCCAGAGTTCAAGCCCCACGACCGACAAAAAAAAAAAAAAAGAAAAGAACAAAACTATGACATTTTCAGGAAAATGGATGGCACTGGAGATCATTCTGGTGAGTAAAATAAGTCAAACTAAAAAGGCGGAGTATAGCTGGGTGTGGGTGGCTCACGCCTGTAAACCTAGCTACTCAGGAGGCTGGGATATGAAGATCTCGGATCAAAGCCAGTCTGGGCAGAAAAGTCTGTGAGACTCTTATCTCCAGTAAAACCACCAGAAAACGGAAGGTGGTGCTGTGGCTCAAGCGGCAGAGCACTGGCCTTGAACTGAAGAGCGCAGGGACAGTGCCCAAGCCCAGAGTTCAAGCAATGATGGTGATAATAATAATAATGTGACATGAGTATAAATGGGGGACTGCTTAGGGGTGATCAGAAGAAAGGTAGAAAGGAGATAGTTCTAGGGGGTAAAGAGGGCATAAGCACATTACACACACATGCACACACACACGCACACGCACACACACACGCACAAATATACAAGGAAGTCCACCAAACACTGTTTGAAAAAGAAAGGGTGAACTTACTCAAAGCACATAGTATCTATGGAATTATTAAAATGAACCCCTTGTGTGCCTGTCATGTATGCTAATAAAAATAGTAAACAAAACATAGTAGTGTTTACATTTTGGATTGTTGTGAAAATTAACTAAGTACACATGGGGTAGGTAGGCAGGTAGCTCAGTGACAGAGCAGGTAATTGTCTCCCTAGCATGGGTGAGGTCCTGGACTCTATCCTCAGCATCTCCTTCCCCACCCAAATACACTTAAGAAAAGTTCTAGGTACAGAGTATTAAGTACAGCTGTCAAAATGTTGACTAATATATAACAATAAGTATTGTTACAACATTATTTTATAATGATAGCTTATTACTACATGTCCTACCTTAGCCCTCTTCTGCAACTTCCTCTTTGCAATGCCCTAATATGGCCACAAGAGGACGCCACCAACCACCAAGAGTATGGTGTCCTGCACTACAAGCTGCCTGAGCTCTCTGGCTCCTCCCCCAGATATCAAAGGGCTCTTTCTGCCAACTTGTTGAGACGTGCAGACTCCTAAGGACATGGCCCTGGTAGGTAGATAGAGTCAGAAGAGCTTCAGGTAGATTTCTACTTACCGCATCCACATGAGGCAGACCTCTGGATACATGCAAAGACTGCAGTGATGCTGGCTGACCACAATACAGCCATAGTCTCCATGCCCTGGGTTTTGGAGCTCTTCAGAAGCTCTTCTAGCTGTACATGCCAAACAGGCTTGGGAGAAAAAGAAGGAAGGGTACGGGTACCTGGTTGCTCAGTCCAAACCTTTCTAAGCAACTCCTGGCAAAACTGCAAGCTACAGCTTGGTGCTGGTAGGCCATACCTATCATCCTAGCTACTCAGGAGGCTGAGATCTGAGGATTATAAGTCGAGGCTAGCAAGGGCAGGAAAGTCTGTGAGACCCTTTTCTCCAATTAACCTCAAGAAAACCAGAAGTGGTGCTAAAGTTCAAGTGGTAGAGTGCTAGCCTTGAGCAAAAGAGCTCAGAGACTGGGCCAGGGCCCTGACTTCCAGCCCACAGGACTGACAAAAACAACAACAAACAAAAACCCCAGGAAACTACACTCTGAAACCTGGAGAAGGTACACAGAAGCCCAATCACGTGGCAGAAGCGAAGTGTTGTGGCTGAGGAGCAGGAGGTGTGTGTTTGTATGTGTGTGATGCAATTTTAGTGGCTCTGCTGATACTAGGCCGGAAACTCATTCCCTTTATTTATTTATTTTTATTTTCTAGTTCTGGGGAACTTGAACTTGAACTCAGGGCACTGTTCCTGAGATTCTTTTTGCTCAAGACTAGCACTCTACCACTCAAGCCACAGTGCCACTTTCTGTTTATGTGGAACTGAGGAATTGAACCCAAGGTTTCATGCATGCTAGGCAAGTACTGTACCACTAAGCCACATCCCCACATCACTCCTTTTGCTTGTGGGTTTTGTTTTGCTTAATACCAGGAGCAGAAGGAGGCTTTCTGATTCACCTTCCACCCCACGCTCTAAATTAGAGGATTTCAAGCTTGGTTTGAAATCTCATATCTAAGAGATTATCTAATCTGCTCTCCTTAATTACTGATTCAAGGAAGGCGTGTGATTTCCCAAGGCCATGTTGCCAGAATAGAACCCCGGTTTCCCAATTCCTTCTTGATGATATCTCACCCCTTGAGGACACGGCTGGTTTGCAGTCCCTCTTAGTCGAATACTCAACTGTTGAATCAGGAAAACTTGTATACCCTTAATCCCCATATTGCTTTTCTACCCATATTTTTGCATTACACGATATCAGAATATACAGAGTTCTGTCCCATGTTACCTTGCTAGGAAACTTCTCCTCCTTGCCCAAACAGTTTCTGTGTTACATACAAGGCCCACCTTTCAGAATTGAGGTCCCTGTGTTGGCCTGGCCCAGGCGCTTACTCAGCTACCTAAACTCTGGTCCTTAGGGCCTGTCCTCTGCCTTGGGACACCTCATCAGGAAGTGAGTCATCACAAGGCAGGCTGTACTTGAGGCACTATGGGCATGGGCATGCCAGTCTGGGGGGGGGGCGGATGGTGATCAGAATCTCCTGGTCTAGCCAAGACAGTGCAGGAATAACATGGTCCTAATGCTGGCTAAGGTCCAGTTTTCTCTATCCACTTCATCCATTGTCTCCTGCCCCCATCTCCTCACTGCTATAATTAAAAAAAGTTCATCAGTCTTCGGGCTTTGCAAGTAAGTATTTAAACATTTTGGAACTGGAAGTAGAGTGTCTACAGAGCAAGCATAAAACAAAAAACCCACAAAAGCTATTTCTAGACAGGTACAGTGGCTCATGCCTGTAATCTTAGCTACTTAGGAGACTTAAGATCAGGAGGATCATAGTTTTGAGGATAACCAGGGCAAAATTGCAGAGCTGCTAGCAATGGTGTAT